ATTTGAATTTTTTCCGTTCAAATGCTTTTAAACCCCTGGTCAACTTCAGAACCTTTCATGTGTAAGTAATGCATAGTAGATGTTAAATAATCATCAGACTACACCCTTTTTATTGCCCCTTTTTGAGAGGTTAGCTTTAAATGTTTTTACCTCCTTAAAAGTGTGGAGTTACAGCCAGGTACCAGTGGCTCACACCTATAATCCTAGCTACTCAGGAGGCTGAGATCTGAGAATCATGGTTCAAAGCCAGCCTGGGCAGGAAAGTCTGTGAGACTCTCTTCTCCAATAGACTACTCAGAAAAAGCTAGAAGGGACACTTTGGCGCAAGTGGTAGAGTGCTAGCCTTGGCAAAAGGAGCTTGAGGAGAGAGCACCCAGGGCCTGAGTTCAAGTCCCACTACCAACAAAAAAGTGAGTTCTTAAGTTTAATACATTCCTAACCCTATTTAACGTTTGAGTACCATTACAATCTTTTAATATACCATTTTATTTATGTTATTAATACCTTATGCTCACTAGTTACTTTATAATGCCCAGGGAATACATGCCAACTTTGGAGGAGTTCTTTGAAGAAGCCATTGAACAAGCAGATCCTGAAAACATGGTTGAAAATGAATATAAGTAAGTAAATTTTTTCATTAGTTGATTTTAATTTCCTCCATTACTCTCGGGAATTCTGTGTATACTAGTAAACTTAAAGGGGTAATTGACAGAGTAGCGCAGAGTGAATGTACCATAATGAACCATGTTCAAATTGTTGTATATCCTGATTTCAGGGATTATTCTTATCATATGACTTGAATTTACACTTGTTTCAAAGTACAAGAAAAAAAATCATTCTCTCCCTCTGTCACCTCTATTCTGTGTTCCCCTTCAAAGCAGCTTCTCAGAACAGCCAACATAATTCTCATCTGTCAGTGGCCAGTGCAGTAGCACTGTGCAGGCCATCTCTTTGGCCCTGCAGTAGTGAACCTGTCCTTCCTAAGATTACAGTCTCCTGTCAACATCCTTGAAACTACTCTCATTACTTTAGTCCCTTGCTCTTCCTGTCAGTCTCCGTTGTTGGCAGTTCATTCACTGCCTAACATCTCAGTTTGGAGTAATTTCAGGACTCAGTCACAGCCTGTTTATCTAGAATGTTCCAGGTGACACCATAGACTCATAGTTTTAAGTAGGCATTATAGAGTGTGATTTAAGAGTAAGGGCCCTCGTCAGGATGCATAAAGTTCCCACCTCTACCACTTACTGGCTGGTGGCTAGAATTAGCTTAAAAATACTCCTATGTCCCCTTTCTTCATCTATTAAGTGTTAATAGCTCATTTCACAGGACTATTCTGAAGATTAAATAAAAAGATTCACATTGAACATGTATAGAATAAAACAAGCATTTGATATGATTAGTGTCACTTTTGCAGTATGTTTTTTTAGTCACTGATCTCTTAAACTAGTCTTATGGTCAGTTCTTCATGCATCAGTGAACTTTAAAATATATGTGCAAGGACCAGAAATAGCACATACCTGTAATCCCAGCACTGGAGGCTGATGAAGCAGTTATATGTGAGACCAGCCAGGGGTCTATATAGTGAAATCTGTCTATAAAATCAAAATTGATTAAATTTAAATCACAACCCTAATCTCATACTTCCAATTTTAATAGTGAGTGACTATTCCAGACTCCTTCCAAGAACTTTTTTAGGCCTCCTTGATCTGGATCATACCTGCCTTTGCAGATACATCTTGCTACTTTTTGACTTTAAGCATACCAACTATTTGTCTTCATCTTTAGAATATATACCATCTGGCTCACTTGACACCCCCACCCCCAGAGCTTCCAGGTCACTCACTTCGGATCTCCCTGCTGAGATACACTTCCCTGCCCTAGTCCCTGTGAGACTTACTCCTGTAGCATCTAAAGTTGTCACATGTAAATGTCTTTTTTATCAGTACTGATACTTACCAATACATTCAGCAATGTTGTGTGTCTGGAATTTTCTGAGGATAATTTCCTGAAGTCTTCGGGCAGTAACTGCAGAGCTAGGAAAACCACTGTGACCTTGAGGCCCTGCTCTCCTGCAGTACTGTTTTGCCTCTGAGTTGAGAATGCACAGTCTACAAAACCTTATAGTTCCTGAGTGCCTAGTTCAATAAGGATTTGTTGATAGAGAATTTATCAGCTGAATGTGGTAGCAAAATTAACATCTCTTTTCATAGAGCTGTGAACAATTCAAATTATGGTTGGAGAGCCCTCAGACTATTAGCACGGAGAAGCCCTCATTTCTTCCAACCAACCAACCAGCAATTCAAAAGTTTGCCAGAATACCTTGAAAACATGGTAATAAAGCTAGCCAAGGAATTACCAGTAAGTACATATATCATTTTTTCCATACTACTTAGTTGACATTATTTTCTTTGCTAAATTTCTATCAGTTTGGGCAAAGAGCTGAATTTAGTATCTCATGTTTAAAAAAAATAAAAAAACACACCACATGATAAAAAAAATGCATTTGAGTATACATTTTTTAGAAAATGCACAAATTTGAGTTTGATACAAATTTAAACTTAAGACTTGAATTTTTCCTGTTTGTCAATGCATTAATCTGTTTCCTATCAGATAGTCAAAGGGTAGCTGGCCTATCTTTTTTCCAACACAATTTTCTAATGTATTGTTGCGATCCTGTAATACGACATTATCCTGTAGTCTTCCCTCCAAACATATAACTTAATAACCCCAGATATTTACACATGGGTTTGCCATGCTTTTCACTACTTGCCCAAGCCGGGGGGGCCCGGAGTTGTTCTGAGGCCCTGTACTGGGGATCTTATAACTACTTTACCTAAACTAAAGCCATCTCTAGCTTTCTCACTTCAGAAGTTGTCATGTTTAACCAGGCTTCAGTGTGTCGTGCCTGTACGCCTGTAATCTTAGCTACTCAGGAGGCTGAGGCTGAAATTTGAGGCTCATGGTTTGAAGCCAGCCTGGGGCAGAAAAAGTCCCTTTCTCCAACTACTCAAAAACTGGAAATAGCACTGTGGCTCAAGTGGTAGAGCACTAGCCTTGAGCACAAAGACGCTCAGGAACAGCACTCAGTCCCAGAGTTCAAGCCCCAGGCCTGGGGGGGGGAAGAAAGTTGGCATTCATTAAAATGTTCTTTCCTGCATCTTTAGCCTCCTTCTGAAGAAATAAAAACAGGTGAGGATGAAGATGAAGAAGATAATGATGCTTTACTGAAGGAAAATGAAAGTAAGAATTGAATTTTCTTGGCTATTTTACAAAATTGGAAAAGATTGGGGTTCTTGGTTGAGAGGTACGTTATTTAATTTGATCTACTTCTCAACTTATCTCAGTTCTGCTTCTGATTTATAGTAAGGAATTAAAAGGAAAGAGTAATACTTTAGGCAATACCATTCCTCTGATTCTTGGGAGCTAGAGGGGAGCAGCTACTTTCAGGCAGTCTTCATAGTTACAGTAGAATAGTGTTGATCTAATGACCATGACTGTAAGGAGAATATAAAGTTGTTTTAAAGTAACACTCATTAAAGTGAATAATATCCTAGTGTTCCTTTAGCTTTCCTGTTCTGTTGTATACTTAGGACTGCATATCATTGTACTTTGTTGATAATTTATATTTTCTGTTTCCTAGGTCCTGATGTTCGGCGAGATAAACCTGTCACTGGGGAACAGCTAGAGTTATTTGCCAATAAGCTTGGCGAACAATGGAAGATTCTGGCTCCATACTTGGAAATGAAAGACTCTGAAATTAGGCAGATTGAATGTGACAGTGAAGACATGAAGATGCGAGCCAAGCAGCTCCTGGTTGCCTGGCAGGATCAAGAAGGAGTCCACGCAACACCTGATAGTCTGATTAGTGCACTAAACAAGTCTGGATTAAGTGACCTTGCAGAAAGTCTAACTAATGACGAGACAAATAGTTAGATTCTTTTCTTTTTTATTAAAACTGTGATAAGATTTTGTTACCAAGCAGCATTTGATAAGAGGTCCACTGGTTTTGGTAAACAATAAACATTTTTATAACAGTTGTACAGTTGGGTGGTGCTCCAAGAAATAGAACACACATTGGCTCAAACCTCAGAAGGGATGGGAAGGTGGGTTGGGAAAATGGCCAAAATGAAGTAACCTCAAAATCACAAAGTATTTTTGTTATATATATTTATAATGAAGTTAAATAGCACTAATATGAAATTAGTTTTCTGCATGCTGTTAGTAGTTACAAAATCTAGCTATCCTACAGTGACTTTCTGAAACCTTGTGACTGTTTTGTTCCTTTTCATGTGTTAAAGATATCAGCAAACTGGTCTTCTCATCATGTCTTTATTACCAAATTTTATTGGCAACAACACTGAGTACTGTGACACCTGTCCCACTACCATAGCAAAGTAGTCGTGACAGCCCAATACAAAAAAATGTTTGCCAGCCCTCAACTTTAAAAGAAATGAGGTCTAAAACTTCATTCTTTAAGCCTTACAAAAATCTTCTGATCTCTTAAATCCTTAACCTAACTACATACCAGGGATTATTGTGAAGTTCAAATGAGATGTGCAAGCACCTGTACGCAGTACAACACTTCGTAGAAATGGCTGAACTGAACAAATTGCTGAACATAGGTAGTGCCATCTACTACTGCCCTGTTCCACACACAGCTCCTTCAGGATCCAAAGCTCAGGCCATAGTTGGTGATCTGAAGAAAATATAATGAGTGCAGAGCACTGTAATGCTCTTGTTTGGGCTTCACTCCTCCACAGCTCTAATATTGAAAGGACCTCAGTGGTAATGGCACAGCAAATAAGGCACATTCAGGAATCAAGATGACTTTTGCCTACTCGTCCTTCTCAGAGACCTACACAAGGCTGGATTCTAAAATAGCCTTAGTTTAAAACTAAATCCAACATCTACTTTAAAAATGCCTTTGGAATAATGCTTTTGCATCAAAGAAAATGAAACTGAGCTTCGTAATGACAAGGAAAAGTAAATACAGCTTTTAAAATTCTTAATATATTCTATACAAGGCTTTTACATCATTCTAAGCCAGCTTCACCTGGCTAGTAGCTTCATTATCTAGTAGGTTAACAAAATTGATTCTAAACTGCTAAGTTTACTATTACAACTATTCTAACCAAATGAAACCATGAGTAAAAGAGCTGGAAAGTTACAAGATTGACACAAATCACAATTCTTAGGGTCTCACTCCATTCTACTTTTCACCATTATCCTACTTCTCCCTAGTAGAGTATTGATTGCCAAATCAGTTCAGGTGAGAACTATTTACAAAGCTGTATCCCTGAAATGTTTTTCCCTAGTTAAGTTACAGATTTGAGAGGAAAATGGACATTATTCCCTAACAGTCTTAATGGTTCTGCAGAGCATTAAAACAAAAATAAGAGATGCATGATAATCCCTAAACTTTATTATAAATATATAACTCAAGCCAGTTAGCTACTGATGTTTCCTTACCTCTTTCCTTAGCAATCAAGGCTCCAAAAACAACTATCAATAACTAGTTAGAATATATTAAAAGGAAACCATCATATTCAAATGTCTCATACTCTGGTATTTTCATCATAACTTTAAAACCACTGATTGTAAATTTTGAGATGCACATTTTAAGGTTTTTGGAACATAACAAATGAGTCAAGAAATGAATCTCGTAAAACATCACTGCAGCCAGCATCCAAAGAAATCCGTATAAAAACTTTGTGTTTCTAAGTGGTATATGAGCAGGCAACAAAGTTACCTCTTAAATGGATGCTCAACAGCACAGTAATATTAATCTGCAGAAGTTTTATTAAATGTATCTGAATCTTCAGCCGAACTCCAACACTAAAAAGACAGACTTCAGGTCAAAAACTATAATCCCTCTTTTTTTTTTTATTAAATATCCTCATTTTCTAAAAATAAGCAACCAGAGCTCAACATTTTTAAAGCTGATTACTACAAAACCATTGCAAAGTTAAATGTACAAACCATAGTACATCAGACACAATAATAAATGTATAATCAAATATAATCTTACTGATCACAAATTTATTTTGTCAGGAAAAGCCAGCAACGGTCAGGCTGGACAAATACTTGATTGCACCCATGTTTCCATGGGATGTGGACCAGCAGCACTGAGTTATACGATGAAAGCAACACTTCCTTTTCCATCAACCTGGAAAAATTTTTTGTTAGATAAGGCAAAGGATGGGCAGCTATTTACTGAATGGTAAAGTGAACCATGCAAGAACAAATAGTAGTAGGTAATAAGTGTGCAATAAACATCACTACTGAGTCTTGGGCTGAAAATAGATCACAGAATGTAATGGTTGAAAGACATTTCAACTAAATTTTTTTTAAGAATTACTGTAAGAAATAAGTTTTTAAAGAACATCTTCCAGCCACTTTTATACAGGGCAGCATATCCAAAGTCAATTTTCTATAATTTTCTGATTGATGCACAAGTGGTCTGATTCTGCTCTCTTGTTCCACATGAGGGAAACAAAACCACCTAAAGGTCTTTCTTTAAAGCTCTGGATTATAGAAATGATCAACAAATAACATTATCTCATATCTAAGCATAAATAGCTAAATTGAAGATTATTGTTCACTTTCATCTTCCATTACTTCAACTCTGCGAGGCCCATAGAGTAGAACATAAGCAATGTGCCAGTCTCCACCACCAGACAGCCGCAGGATGTCTTCTGGTGTTACGATGCTGACTTTGTCGTCATCAAACTTGATCCATTCATCTAAAGAGCAAGAAAATAACTCTTCAAAGTTCTATTTGTTTCCAAAATCAGATTTGACTTGATGTACTGCAATCCTCCCACCAACCTGCTAACAGCCCTCCAAGTGTCATCCAGGGACCACACAGCTTTGAGAATATCAATGGTTCCATAATGACAACAATTTCAATACTAACTAGAGCCTCCTCCCAGAGCCTGCATAACATGATACTTTAACAAGACAAATCGATCTGAGAGTGGATTGTGGTCTAGTTCTGGCAGAGCTTATCTATCCTGTACAAGGCCATGGCTTTCATCCCCAGCACAAGGAGGAGAAGAAGGAAGAAGAGGGGAAGGGAGGGGACAAGGGTGAAGGAAGAAAAAAGAGGGAGGAAAGAAGAATAAGAAATGCAAGACAAGGGGGGAGGGGGGAGGCTGGGAAGGGATGTGAAGGGTAAACCAAAGGAGGAGGTTGCAATGCTTGGTAAGAAATGTACGCATTATCCTGCCCATGTAATTGTAACCCCTCTGTACAGTATGTTCACAAATAAAATAAATTAAAAAAAAAAAAAAAAAGAAATGCAAGACAGATATAAAAATCCAGCTATTTTCTGTTAGGCCAGATAATAGGAAGGCATAAAAATGTAAACCAGTACTGTTTCCCACCTTTATTTTTCTGGTGCCAGTACTAGGGCACAAACTGAGGACTTTGGGCTATTGTTTAGCTGTTTTGCTCACAGTTAGCAGTACTGGAGCCAGGCCTCCCTCCTATTTTTTGTTTGTTTTTTTTTGTTTTGTTTTTGCTGGTTAATTGAAGATGAGTTTCAAGAATTCGTGTGCCTAAACTGGCTTTAAACCTTAATCTGCAGATCTCAGCCTTCTGAGTAGCTAGGCTTATAGGTGTATGAGCCACCAGCACCCAGCTCACTTCTTTTCCCCCCTAAATTCTGAAAGTTATTATATTAACTAAAAAAAGTTATTTATATTAATATGTAATGCATTTACTACTGTTGATTTTTAGTGAATTTAATTTCTCTACCTTAATTGCTAATACTGGGAATAATTAAGAAACAGACTTCATAAACAAAAGCTCTAGAACCTTTAAAGAACAAATGTATAGTACCGACAGTGAGGGGAAAAAAATAGAAAATAATAGTTCTACGACAAAAAATCATTGCTATAAAATATGTAACAAAAGAGTACTCAACAATTGAAAACAGTGCAGAATTCTTTACCTTGTTTTCTTTTCACCCATGATACATAATGACCTGATGAACTAGACCTTCCCTGGTGTGTCAGCACTGCTTGTAAGTCATAATATCCACAATTATTGGAGCCAATATCTAAAGAAATACAAGTCCATTAGTATTAGACAATGAATACAAGTGTTTTCTCAAGGGAGGTAACAATAAAAAAAAAAATTGTTCAGATTACCAATGTAGTTTCTTACAATCCAGGAAGATAACTAATTAGAATGAAGGCTTCATGAATGGTATTTTTTTGGGGGGGGTCCAGTTGTGGGGCCTGAACTCTGGGCCTGGGCACTGTCCCTCAGCTCTTCAGCTCAAGGATAGTGCTCTTCCACTTGAGCCACAGCGCCACTTCCGGCTTTTTTCCTTTTGCTTATGTGGTGCTGAGGAATCAAACCCAGGGCCTCAGGCATGCAAGGCAAGCGCTCTACCACTGAGCCACCTTCCCAGCCCCATGAATGATATTTTTAAAGCTCAATTATACTGTTTGTCATATTAAGGCAAAATAATCTTCAAGTAACAATTTTAAAAAGTTTATCTTAGCCGGTTCTGGGGCTCAAGCCTGTGAGACTCTTTATCTCCAATTAACTACCAGAAAACCAGAAGTGGCTCTGTGGCTCAAGTGGTAGAGCAGCTCGCCGTGAACTGAAGAGTTCAGGGACAATGCTCAGGCCCAGAGTTCAAGCCCCACAACCAACAAGACAAAAAATATTTATCTTAATAAGTATGTGGCAAGACAGATCTTTACCAACATACATATATACATAAAAACTCAAATGTTGACTTACCATCCGCAAATGAAAAGGGTTCATATTTAACTTCTTTCTGTGGACTACCCTTCTTGTCACACTGAGAAAAAAACATCTTAAATCATTATATTGGAAATAACATTTACATTCTTGCTGAGTATTCATTTTCCCACATTTACTGGCTACAAAGTAGTAAGACAAAATAACAAGCTACTCATAAATTATTTGGCATATTCTGCATGGAAGAATTTTCACCAGCTTTTAGCAATTTGGACTCTCATTCTGCTGAGAACATGGAGACAGTGAATGGGTCACCTATTGCCATAAAATGTAATGTAAAATGATATCACTCTAGGAAAATGTTTGGCATTCTTGAAAAACTAAATAGCAACTGACATACAACTATATTTACACTAAAATCCACATGAATACTTAAACTATGCAAAACAGACGAAAACTGGAAATAATCCAGATGTTCTTTAATAGTTGCATGGTTAAGCAAACTGTGATATATCAATACCAGGAAATACTAAAGAATAAAAAGGAAAGAATCCTTACATAATAACCTAGACAAATCTGGGGAAAAGTCAACACCAAAAGGTTATTTTAAAATGGAAAATTTTCTATTTCATTCATATACTATTTGGGAAACAACAAAACTGTAGAAAGGGAAGTGATTAGTGGTTGCAAAGAATTGAGGGCAGAAGGACAGTGTACCTACAAAAGGCAACTATGAAAGATCTTTGTGGTAAAATAAATGTATCAATGTCAGCAACCTAACTGTGATCATTTCATTACAGTGTATAGGATGCTACCACTGGGGAAAACTAGGGAAAGAGAACTTCAACCCGCTCAGTATTCTTTCTAATAACGGAGTGTAATTTCTAGAATTACTCCAAAATAAATTTTAATTTTTTAAAAGGTGCTTTTAACACATACATACAAATATAATTTTAAGACGTGGTATTAACCAGATATCAATAGCTATGCCTGTAATCCTTGCTACTCAGGAGACTGAAATCCGAAGGATCTTGGCTCAAAGCCAACCAAAGCAGAAAAGTCTGAGAGACTCCATCTCCAACTAACCAATGAATAGCCAGGTAGGAGATGAACTCAAGTGGTAACAACCAGCAGTAGAGAAGCAAGGTGTGCCAACTCAAGACCCTCAATTCAAGACCTGATAGTTTTTAAAAAAAACAAAAAAAACGTGAGCTAATTCTAAGTAGGGTATTTTTCATGCCCAAGAAAAAAATTCTACATACAATTCAGACCTCTTAAAACTAAAATAACGGGACTGGGAAGGTGGCTCAGTGGTAGAGCGCTTGCCTTATATGTATTGAGGCTTTAAGTTCGATTCCTCAGCACGACATAAGCAGAAAAAGCTGGAAGTGGCACTGTGGCTCAAGTGGTAGAGCACCAACCTTGAGCTGAAGAGCTGAAGCACAGCACCCAGGCCCGGAGTTCAGGCCCCAGGACCAGCAAAAAAAAATAAAAATAAATAAAATAACATAATTTTTAAAATGTTATGCTATTATTTTAGTATTTCCAAGCACACAAGAAGCACCTACTAAGATGACTTGGTTGTAACAGTACACATTCAGGAATCACTATTCTGGCACCTACAATCCCATCTAAAAATAGGAATGATTCTAAGCCTAACAAGGAATACAATCACATATATGTTTATATAACAGAAATACAATCTGCAGGTTACAGCAGAAAAGAAAGTATCAAGTTCTTGTTTCTTATGCTAACTTTAGTTTTTACATTTGAAACTTTAAAGGCTTATTACACCAATATATGTAGGCTGTGCACACTTCCTAATTAAAATACAAGTTCATCCAATTATACAAATAGGTTAACAATCCAAGGTAATTGTTGAGGGCTGATTAAAGATTAAAATATTAAAAAGCTGGCAATAAGAAAAAAAAAAGTTGGCAATAAGAACCTACTACATTTGGCTGCTGATTCACTTTTTTATCTTCTAGATCCTTGAATTTTGATCGAAAAGAAATCATTTTTTCTTGCAGTTCTGGAGTACATAGTTCATAAACATCCAACATGAGAGGAAATTTAACATCCTACATACAAACCAAAAAGAAAGAAAATTTGTAATCAGATATATGGATTCATATATGTATGTGTGTGTGTGTGTGTGTGTGTGTGTGTGTATATATATATATATATATAAATAGACATATCACAATTCTGAAGGAATGCTTTAATAATTCAAATAAAATTGGAGATAAAATCTTGTGCAATTTATCTTGCCATGTAAGTGTAACCCCTCTATACAATATTTTCACAATAAAAAAAAAATCTTGTGCAAATCATGTGGAATACTTTACAACTGTAAATTCTTTACTTACTCTTATGACCAGATTCTGTTTTTAAATATTGTAATCTTTAATCAATCCTCAATAATTGCTTTTCAAATGTGTTCTCATTGCATGAAACTGATCACAGAGAAAGACAAACACTGGAGATTCACACCTATAATCCTAGGCATTCATGAGGCTGAGATCTGAGGACTGAGGACTGAGGTTCAAGTTCATCAGGGCAGACAAATCTGAGAAACTCATATCCAATTAACCAGCAAAAGGCCAGATTTGGAGGTATAGCTTAAGCAGTAGAGCACCAGCCTTGACCAAGAACACTAAGCAAGTGTTTAAGGCCCTGTGTTCAAGTCTCAGTGCTGTCACAAAAATATATGAATTAATAGAAGCAGCAACTCAGCAATATTAGGCTGGATGCTATGAAAATAATGAAATCGCAATACTGGAGTCAATTTAGAATTTTTTTCTAATGTAAAGTTTAATTTTACACACAGGACTGATATGCTCCAAGAATTTATGTTAAAATACTAATCTGAGGGTTGGGAATGTGGCTCAGTGGTAGAGCGCTTGCCTTGCATGCCTGAAGCCCTGGGTTCGATTCCTCAGCACCACATAAGCAAAAAGAAAAAAGCTGGAAGTGGCGCTGTGGCTCAACTGGTACAGCGCTAGCCTTGAGCTGAAGAGCTGAGGGACAGCGCCCAGGCCCAGAGTTCAGGCCCCACGACCGGACCCAAAAAAAAAATAATAATAATAAAATAAAAAATAAAAATAAAATACTAATCTGAGTGCTAGTAGCTCATGTCTCTAATCCTAGCTACTCAGGTGGCTAAGATCTGAGGATCACAATTCAAAGACAGATAGCCCAAGGCAAGAAAAGTCTGTAAGGCTGGTTGGTGTCTAATGTCAGAAATGGAGGTGTGGCTCAAGTTGTAGAGCACCAGTCTTTTTTATCTGGCTGGTCATGGGGCTTGATCTCTGGAACTAGACACTATCCCTGGGCTCCTTTTGCTCAAGGCTAGTGCTCAACCACTAGAGCCACAGCACCACTTGCAGTTTTTTCTGTGATTAATTGGAGGTAAGAGTCTCACGGACTTTCCTGCCTGGGCTGGCTTGGAACTTCGATCCTCAGATCTCAGCCTCCTGAGTAGCTAGGATTACAGGGATGAGCCACGGGTGCCCAGCTAGAGCACCAATCTTGAGTGGTAAAGTTTAAGGGACAGCACCTAGGCCCTGAGTTCAAGCTGTCAAACCATAATATTTTAAGTAAGTAAATACAAGTATAGACACTTAAACTATATAAACTACATTTATCCTTCTTATAAAACTCTACAGCTATTAGAAGATGTGTTACAAATTTCAGCTCATGAGTTTAGACCCTTTCTAAAGATCAGAAGTTCCCTGGACATAAGACATAATAAGCAAAGCCAGCACTCAACACAGTTAAATCTTAACACTGGCTTCTAAATTTCAGTACTCGGGGCTGGGAAGTTGGCTCAGTGATAAGAGTGCTTGCCTTGCATGCATGAGGCCCTGGGTTCGATTCCTCAGCACCACATATGCAGAAAAAAGACAGAAGTAGCGCTGTGGCTCAAGTGGTAGGGCACTGGCCATGAGCTGAAGAACTGAAGGACAACACCCAGTTCATCCTCCACGACCATCAAAAAAAATTAAATAAATAAATTTCAGTACTCTTCAGGCTCCAGGGTTTTACTTTTGTCACCTACAAAAAAGCCACTACCTGGAATATAGTGCAGTGGTGCTGTACTGCACTCCTTATTCTCATGCAGCATACTGAATCAGTATTTCAGAAACAAAGAATGTGACCTAGGGCAGTATTTCTGGGAAGAAGAGATCTATCAGAATTATCTGTGAATTCTTTGAAAACTCTACATCTGGTCCAGCCTAAGATGTTATCAGATATTTGGGGCTGGGGAAAAGAAGCCAGGCATTTATACAATTAAAAATGAATCAGCAGGTAATTCTAGTACACATTTGTAGTTAAGAACCGAATGTCTAATTTTGATACAAGGACATATGCTTGTACTGGTAGCAATAGGGACAACTAAAGCAGATCACAGGTTCTAGGTCAGCTTCAGCTACAATGAAAGACCTAGTATTGCCGGGTGCCGGTGGGTCACGCCTGTAACCCTAGCTACTCAGGAGGCTGAGATCTGAGGATCACGGTTCAAAACCAGCCAGGGGATGGGGCTGGGAAGGTGGCTCAGTGGTAGAGCACTTGCCTTGCATGCCAGAGGCCCTGGGTTCAATTCCTCAGCACCACATAAACAAAAAGAAAAAAGCCGGAAGTGGCGCTGTGGCTCAAGTGGTAGAGCGCTAGCCTTGAGCTGAAGAGCTGAGGGACAGTGCCCAGGCCCAGAGTTCAGGCCCGACGACCGGACCCAAAAAAAAAAAAAAAGAAAAGAAAAAACAGCCAGGGGAAGGAAAGTTCATGAGACTCTTATCTCCAATTAACCACTAGAAAACCGGAAGTGGCACTGTGGCTCAGGCGGTAGAGTGCTCCCCTTGAGCTGAAGAGCTGAGGGATAGCGCCCAAGCCCACAGTTCAAGCCCCACAACCGACCAAAATAAAGAAAAAAAAAAAAAGACCTTGTCTTAGAAATTTAAAAAAAAAAAGTTACATATTGATGAGTCCTTTATATATTTCAGACACTTAACTATCTCTAAGGAAATAAAGAAACCTATTTTCCACTACAGATGAATTTCAAAGAACTATATTTTATGTACAAGCTAAACTTTATTACTAACCTTAAGAACTTTGGCATTCACAGATTCCTTCTCTTTATAAAAAAATCGAACCATCTGAATCGTTAAGTAAGCAGGTAGTCGGCTGATCTTCGACTGAAAAGAGAAAATGGGGAGAAAAATCATATATATATATATATACACACACACACACACACACATATATATATATATTTTTTTTTTTGGTCAGTCCTGGAGCTTGAACTCAGGACCTGGACACTGTCCCTGACTTTCTTTTGCTTAAGGCTAGCACTCTTGAGTCACACAGCAACCCTTCCAGCTTTTTTTCTGTGTATGTGGCACTGAGGAATAGAACCTAGGACTTCATGCATGCTAGGCACTCTACCACCAAGCTACATTCCCAGCCCCCAAGAAAATACTTAACATCCAAATATAATAGTTTTTAATTCCATGGTGATAGAAAATAAAGATTAGTTAAGATTTGTAAACTGGAAAACTTTCAGTGAAATGGAACTCAAATTCAAAACAAATGCACAACTTACAGATTTGATGTACAAAGCGTTTCTCTGTAATGTTGGAGATTGTTTGGTAATTTCTTCCTGAAGTCGCTAAAAAAAAAAAAATGACAGACAAAATGGGTTTTAAAGACTTTTTTCCTGCAGCATAGAACCACACCTGACTCTTTAAAACCAAAGGAAAAAAAATTACTATTAGTATATGATCAATCAATGGATTTACATTAGTGAGAAACAAACTGTAATGAAAACAATAGGAAAAGCTTTCAGCTATTGTTATAATTCTTATAAGGCACTAATTTACAAGTAAATAACTTATTTTAAGTATAGTGACTAAAGTTTTTAGTTATAATCCAAATGATGCTCAGCTTCTGGGAGGATGGATGAATAGATAAATAGATCAATCAATCGATCGATCGATCACCAGTCAGGTTACTTTTAAATCTGAGAAGTCACAACACAGAAAACTTAGGAAGTCTTTTGCCATTATACTTCTTATAATCAACATAATCACCTATTTCCTGCAGTGTATGTGACACTGGCAATGTTTTCACTTCTCTAGGCATCATATCTTAAAGTTAATTAAAAAAATCTGTATTATAGTGTTGTAGTCTCAAGTACATAAATCAATACATGTGGCAAACGTAGGAAACAATCTGACATCTAGTCTATGTTCAATAAAATTAGCTATTTATAATGGTATATAGAAAAAATGAGCATTACTAAACAAAACAAAAAAATCTGATTTACAAAGCCTTATTGATCATGCTTTAACATTTGTGTAATTTTTATCACAGGACTTAATATTTAATTCATCACCAAAAGAGACATAATGGCCAAAATTACTCAAGAATAATAAAATAAAAATAAGACAAAAATCTTTAAATTATTTTTAAAATTTTTAACTTTGTTTTTTGAGTAAATGTCTCAAAGTCATGATTCTTCTATTCTCCTATCAACACCACAACATCCAGCTAAAAACCTTTAAAGTTACAATGGAAATAAATGCAACTCGGGAATATATGTCTTTTTAAAAGGTTCAGGTGGAGGGGCTGGGAAGGTAGCTCAGTGGTAGAGTGCTTGCCTTGCATGTATGAGGCCCTGGGTTAGATTCCTCAGCACCACATAAGCAGAAAAAGCCAGAAAGGGTACTGTGGCTCAAGTGTTAGAGCACTAGTCTAGAGCTAAAGAGCTGGGGGACAGTACCCAGGCCCAGAGTTTAGGCACCATTACTGACAAAAAAAAGGGAAAAAAAAAAGTTCAGGTGGAGCAAGGCATTGATTCATTAACATTAAACAAAACCAATAATACTATATCTCATAACCAAATGATCTTTCTCTAATACATGTGATTTTCTTGGTAAGGCATATCAATCTTCCTGAACTTGAGAATACATTTGAGGATCATGCTACACACTAGTATCACCAACAAAAAGCACACACATAAACACACAGGCACCAAGATTACTGTGCAAAGAACACTTGTGAATTGAAGTAAGAAGTCAGAGCACTCTCTTGCTTGACCTATATGTGGGAAGCCATTCAGTAACATGTCTGTGAATGACTATTAAAGCACAGTGAGGCAAGGTGCTGGTGGCTGATGCCTATAATCAAAGCTACAGGCTGAAATCTGAGGATCATAGCTCAATGTCAGTCCAGGTAGGAAAGTCCATGAGACTCTTACCTCCAATTAACCTGTAAACAAAAAAAACAGAAGTGGAGCTGTGACTCAAGTGAAAAGAGCAACAGCCTTCAGGAAAAAAGCTAAGGGGAAAGCACGTGGGCCCTGAGTTCAAACCCCAGTACTGGCATGCATACATGCATGCATGCATGCATGCCAATAGATAGAGACAGACAGACAGACAGACAGACAGATCAGTGAGTTTTGTCTTTAGGTTTACAAGTAAATTTCAGCATGTGAACATATTCACAAATGTGTAATGTACAAATAATAATCAGCCACTACTGTCCATACCAATTTAAGTCCTGTAAAAAGATACTTGACTTCCTGATTAATAAAACAGCTAAGCTGAAGCTGGTTTTCCTTCCCTTTGGTGACCTCTTCTTCTTCAGATTCTGTACATTTCATGCTTTGCAAATTAAGATAAGGAATGACAACAAATATTCATTTTGTTATTCTTGAATAGAATGAGTTATCCTAATGTTATTTAACAACCATTACTTGGAACTTGAAACATTACCTCCCAATAGACATTCATGTCAACATACTGACATGTTAACAGGTATATACACAATTAGCTAAATTTAAAGAAAGATCATGTCACAGTAGTGTATTTTTATTCTTTATTTCCGTAGTATATTTTTAGAAATAAAAAAAATTTACAATGTTTTCTTCTATCCCACCCACCATGCCAATCAGTCAAATATATTACTTATACTAATTTATATTTTGGAAGTTATGCATATAATAATCTATACAAATCTTGACTTATAAGGATACGTCGTTTCAAACTCAAGACCGAAGAACTGATCAATTAAGCTTTTCTTTTTAGAAGGTGGCACTGCTGATGCAGATGAAGAATCTGTCTGTAAAAATAAAATTAAAATTCTAGCTTTACTTAATACAGATATTAATGTATATCTCCTCATACAAAAGCCAATTTGATAATGCATATTCAAGATTTTTCAGTGTAGTCCTTTCTTGTGAAATCCTTCTAAATTCAAAAACATTGCAAAAAGATTATACGTGCTCAACAATATCAATATATACGGACAGCAGGTAATTGTGGGCTCTTGAGGCTGTGGTTTCAAATGGGCAAGAAATGACCCCTCCCCTTCCCCCACTGGCCAGGATCAGGAGGTACAGATAGTTTGGAAAGTTGTGATGGACTGCAGTGGAATGGGATATGGGATTCTCTAGCCCAAGTCCCTTACCTGCAGACAGCCTTGTGGGGAACAAGGGATCCTGTTACATTCAATAAATAACACCCTAAATGCCAAATATAAGCTATCAAATTTCAACTCTTAAGTTGAACATATAACATAGAGCAGCTAACTATGCAACTACAACTCTATCTATTAAGATAAATTTATCTCTGGGAACCGGTGGCTCACGCCTGTAATCCTAGCTACTCAGGAGGCTGAGAGTGGCAGTTCAAAGCCAGCCTGGACAGGAAACTCCGTAAGACTCTTATCTCCAATAAACCACCAGAAAACTGGAAGTGGCGCTGTGACTCAAGCGGTAGAGCATTAGCCTTGAGCTGAATTGCTGCGGGACAGTGCCCAGGCCCAGAGTTCAAGCCCCACGACCGACAAAACAAAACAAAACAAAAAAAAGATAATTTATTGCAATCCTTTGGGTGAAGAAAATAAAAAATAGTATAATGAAAATCTATAATCAAAAAAATTAATAAATCTCAATTACCTCTTTAACAGAATCATCTTCTATGGCTTCTAATTTCTGTTGCAATACTCGCATCATTTGTATCCAACATTCATTAGCATCCTGTAATTTGAAACATAACAATTAGTTGGGTGGCCAGTACCTCAACCTGTAATCCTAGCTACTCAGCAGGATGAGATCTAAGGATCACAGTTTGAAGCCAGCCTGAACAGTAAAGTCCATGAGACTCTCATCTCTAACCACCAAAAAGCTGCAAGTGGAGTTGTGGTCAACTGGTTGAGCACTTTGCTCAAGGACAGCACTGAAGCTCTAAATTCAAGCCCCAGAGACTAGCACCAAAAAAAAAAAAAAAAAAAAAATGGGCTGGGAAGGTGGATCAGTGGTAGAGCGCTTGCCTTGCATGCCTGAGGCCCTGGGTTCAATTCCTTAGCACCACATAAGCAATAAAAGAAAAAAGCCGGAAGTGGTGCTGTGGCTCAAGTGGTAGAGCGCTAGCCTTGAGCTGAAGAGCTGAGGGACAGCGCCCAGGCCCAGAGTTCAGGCCCCACAACCAGACCCCCCCCCCCCCCAAAAAAAAAAAAAAAATGCTGCCAGGTGCTGGTGGCTCATGCTTGTAATCTTAGCTACTCAGGAGGCTGAGATCTGAAGACCACAGTTTAAAGCCAGCCCAGGCAGAAAAACTCCATGAGACTCTTATCTCAATTAATCACCAGAAAACCTAGCCTTGAGCTGAAGAGCTCAGGGACAGCGCCCAGGCCCAGAGTTCAAGCTCCACAACCAAAAAAAAAGAGGGGCTGGGAAGGTGGCTGAATCATAGAGCGCTTGCCTTGTATGCATGAGGCCCTGGGTTCGATTCCTCAGCACCACATAAGCAGAAAAAGCTAGTGGCACTGTGGCTCAAGTGGTAGAGTGCTAGCCTTGAGCTGAAGAGCTGAGGGACAGTGCCTAGGCCCAGAGTTTAGGCGCCACTACCAACAACAACAAAAAAATTCAGGTGGAGCCAGGCATTGATTCATTAAGATTAAAAACAAAACAAAACAAAAAGATTCTTGCAGAGATAACAGGCACTCTATAAAACTCTTCTAAAATAATTTCCATTTCCTTACAAGTTAAAATATTCAACAAGTTTGGCATAAGATCTTCAAAGAATTGAATTCTAGAATAGTTATTCATTGATTTAACAGTGAGCTCCTATTTCTGCTACAATGTGCTAGATATTTGAAAGACATAATGAGAAAAAAATAGAGTCCCAATGGGCCATATAGAAAAATATGAATTCAGACAAGATTAAGACAATGAAGAAGAAAATGCAAAATAGGAGCAGAGAAAGTATGCTGTATCAATAATGTAATCAGGAAAGCCTGATTGGGATGGGTGAGACCTGAGGAAACAAACTATACATACATGTGACAACCAAGGAACAAGAACAAAGGAGTGCCAAGAAGAGGGCACTTGAGGCTAGCACGATCAGAGAAGCCATGCAGTTGGAAAGGGTGTGTCTGGGAGAAGGAGCACAAGATGAACCCAGAGGCAGCCAGAGGCTTAATGGATTTAAGACAGAAAATTACTATTAGTTACCAAATAAAAGCCCAACTTAATCCTATTTATTAATAATTTATCAATAAATATATACACATGTATGTATGTGTTTATATACATATATACATTGGTGCTAGAAATAGAACTCACTCATGCTAAGGGCATACTGTAACACTGAGCTACAGTGAGAAACCCTAGTTAAATGTACAATACATAGTGGGGTTTGAACTCAGGGCTAGGCAAGTGCTCTACTAGTTGAACTGTGTCCCTACTCCTTTTTCCTTTAGGTTATTTTTCAGAGAGGATCCCAAGCTGTTGTCAAACTACCATTCTCCAGATCTTCATCTTCTGAGTAGCTGGAAATTACAGGTATGAGCAACCATGTGAGGACCACCATTTACACAAAAAAAAACACTAGGGATGTGCACTGATGGTTCAAACCTATAATGCTGGCTACTCAGGCTGAGATGTAGAGATTTATGGTTCAAAGCTAGCCCACATGAAAAAGTACCCTAAAGTTCATCTCAAAAATCATCAACAAAAAGCCAGACTGTATGCATAGCTCCAGTGGTAGAGCGCCAGCTGTGAGCAAGTAAGCAAGCCAAGCAAGCAACAAACATGAGGCCTTGAGTTCAAACTCTGGCATACAAACAAGACATACAGACACACACAGACACACACACACACAGAGGCAGCTGTGTGGAAAAACTGCAAAAGCAGAAGGAAGATGATCAGTTAACAGACAACTGTCCCACAACTATAAGAGGTTAAGTGTTGTGAACAAAAGCAGACTTCCAAATATATCCCATTAACTACGTAGAAAAATTTTGCTCGCTTACCTGTTGGAGATACTGTCCTTGTTCACCCTTTTCTGCAAATTGTGGGAAAGCCATGTGCAAAAACTGCAGTAGAATAATAGGTGGAATACTAGAAGAAGTTTTATCCATGGAATCAAACAAATCTCTAAGGGCTTAAGCACAAAACAAACACTGCCTTAGAAAAACACTGAACTATTTATTTAATACATACTACTATAAATATTTGATTTTTAAATTCATATAGACCTGCTTAACTTTCTTTTGTATTGTTTTTATTTTTTGAGACAGGGTCTTGAAATATAGCCTACCCTGGATTAGAACTCCCAATCTTCTGGCTCTGTCACCTGAGTGCTGGAATTACACGGCTATACCACTACACCCAGCCTACATTAAGTATTTTTAAGTATACCTATCTTTTTCCAATTGTTCAATTTGCAATAATAAAAAGTCATATTCAACTCAAAAAACCAAATCACCTTACCACTCAAACCTTACCTATAAATAACCTCTGATATCTGCCCTCTTTCTCTCTTCTCCTTGCCAGTCTTTGTCTTTCAAAACAAAGTAGAGTATATTAATTCAATACAGAGAACACACAACTAGTGTCTAGGGATCAAACAGACATAATAGAGAAGGCTACAATGCTTGGTAAGAAATGTACTCATTATCTTGCCCATGTAATTGTAACCCCTCTGTACAGTATTTTCACGATAAAAAAAATATATTAAAAAAAAAAACAGACATAGTAACACCACTGTTCTGCCACTCTGCCCATTACCTGGATATCAAATTACCACTCCCAATTTATCTTCCTTTAAACCAGTAATTGGTTCCCACCTACTGACCTAAGAGATTTAAGAACTAAAACTTAAAAAAAAATAAAAGAACTAAAACTTCTTCAAAACATTTCCCCTTAAATCTCATGGCCATGGACTGAACTATGCTCTCAGAATTCAGAATACTTTTTCTCTGCTGATTTCTTGGCTATCCTCTCTCATCTTACACTTATTTTATGTGTAGCACAATTCTTCATATGACTTGTTTTATTAATAGCTACAATGTGAAATGTCATCTATTATCGAACAAACTAAACTCTGCAAATACTATGGCATGTCAGCACAAAGTAAAAACTCAGTAAAAGGGGGCTAGAAAGGCAGCTCAGTGGTAGAGTGCCTGCCTTGCATGCATGAGGCCCTGGGATCAATTCCTTAGCACCACATTAAACAGAAAAAGCGAGAAGTGGCACTGTGGCTCAAGTGGTAGAGTACTAGCCTTAGCTAAAGAGCTCAGGGACAGCGCCCAGACCCAGAGTTCAGGCCCCACGACGACCAAAAAAAAAAACACCTCAGTAAAAGGTTCCTGAACAGAAAAACTAAATACAATGTTTAAAAACTCTTTTTGGAGGGCTGGGAAGGTAGCTCAATGGTAGAGCACTTACCTTGCATGCCTCGATTCCTCAGCACCACATAAGCAAAAAGAAAAAAGCTGGAAGTGGCGCTGTGGCTCAAGTGGTAAAGCGCTAGCCTTGAGCTGAAGAGCTGAGGGACAGTGCCCAGGCCCAGAGTTCAGGCCCCACAACTGGACCCAAAAAAACAACAACAACAACAAAAACAAAAAACAAAAAAACTCTTTTTGGAAACACAGTTGAAATCTAGGAATCTCTATCAAGCTGATTATGTTTTGAATCCAAAACCCAGATGACTTAAATGTGTAGTATGAGGACACCAGACCTTCAAATCCTATGAAAATGCAAGATAGTATAATCCTTTTGGGGGATAATCTGGTAGTTTACTCAGAAGAGTAAACTAATAAATAATATGAGCCAACAATTTCACCCTTAGATATGTATCCAAGAGAAATAAAAACTTATGACCAAAGACTAAGAGTAAATGGTTAGCATAGATGAGATAGTAGGTTCAATTCCCAGTACTACATACATGCAATAAAAAGTATTTCTCCTCATAAACATCACTCCTATACAACCACTACAACTTTTCATAGGGATCATAACACATAAACTTACTTTCAGCTATTACCAAATCTGTTGCTAAATCTAAAAGACTCTGAAAACAAAACTACAATTGTATCCAAAAAAGTTCCATTTATTTTTCAGAATACCAAATTGGAAGGACCTTGAGATCCTCCCCTTTCCGCCTCCTGAGTACTAGGATTGCAGGCACGGCTACCATACCCAGGTTTCACAGAATATTTTTCAAAGTGAATATGCATCACTGGTTTGTAACATGGATAACTTCCAAATTATTCAATGGTAAGTTTAAGTACTCCAACTGTGTCAAATCCTAGTGGCTCATGTCTATAATCCTAGCTAGTTAAGAGTAAGGGTAAGATAGCAGTTTGAAGCCAGCCAGGACAGAAGTCTGTATAAGGCACTTAATCTTCAATTAACCAACAAAAAGCCAAAATTCAATGTGTGGTTCAAGTGGTAGACCATCAGACTTGAGCAAAAAAGCCAAGCAAAATGTGAATTTTTGAACTTAAGACCCAGTACCAAAACAAACAAAAAAAAGTATTCCAAGTTTAATAAATTAATGTTGTACATGTTATGAATTTTAAAAAATTACTAAACAGATTACAGTTGAGAAGCACATTGCATTCAATATTCAACACCTCTCCAAAAGGAGTCTAATATACTAACCTGCAGTGATATACTGTGCTGAAGCCATTTCCCCAGAAGCTCTCAAGGCACCTGCATACCTAGGGACATCAAGAAATAAGATAAAGTCATTTTTAAACTCAAATATGAGAAGAAATCAGTTTTTCTAACACCCTCAACTCTAAGTTGTTTTTTTTTGGGGGGGGGGGGGGGGGTCTGGTCGTGGGGCCTGAACTCTGGGCCTAGGCACTGTCCTTCAGCTCTTCAGCTCAAGGCTAGCGCTCTACCACTTGAGTCACAGCGCCACTTCCGGTTTTTTCTTTTTGCTTATGTGGTGCTGAAGAATCGAACCCAGGGATTCAGGCATGCAAGGCAAGCGCTCTACCACTGAGCCAACTTCCCAGCCCTCAACTATAAGTTTCTCAGAGTATTTTTCCTCTTCTAGTTTTGCTCATTGAAACATTATAAGGATTTTTTTTAAAAAACAAAGTAAAAATGCTTAAGTCAAACTTCACATATTACCAGGCAGTGGTAATGTGTTTACATTCTACATGTCTATTCTAATGACTAAAATGATAAAGTTTGATAAAACCCAACAATGGCAAAAACATAAAACCAAAACTACTAATACATTTAAAAAAAAAACCAAAGACTGATAAATCTCAACTTTTCACTGAGTAAAATAGGCCAAACTAAAAATACCAGCTGATTTAACTTAAAATCCAAAATACAACTAGTATGTTCTACTGTACTTATATCCACTGTAATAGGGTAGTGTAATATATCCATTATAATCTATGTACTTTCTCATAAATATCTGACAACTATTTACTTTAGAGAAATTTAGAAATTCTCAGAGCTATTCTTTCATGTTTTTGTGTGATTCTTCTGTCTTCTATTAAATTCAATGAACGCATTTTGCAAGCCACTTAAGAAGGCAGAAGGCAGGAACCAGTACTTCACATCTATAATCATAGCTAGTCAGGACGCTGAGATGTGAGATCAAGATTTGAAGCCAGGGGCTGGGAAGGTGGCTCAGTGGTAGAGCGCTTGCCTTGGCTTGCCTTGCATGCTCGAGGCCCTGGGTTCGATTCCTCAGCACCACATAAGCAAAAAGAAAAAAGCCGGAAGTGGCTCTGTGGCTCAAGAGGTAGAGCACTAGCCTTGAGCTGAAGAGCTGAGGGACAGTGCCCAGGCCCAGAGTTCAGGCCCCATGTCTGGACCCAAAAAAAAAAAAAGATTTGAAGCCAACCCAGGCAAGAAAATTTATGAAACTCTTTTCACCAACTGACTACCAAGAAAGCTGGAAGTGAAGCTGTGGTTCAAGTGGAGCAAAAAAGCTCAGAAATAGTATCCAAGGCTCTGATTTCAAGCCCAGGACTAGCACCAAAAAAAAGGAAAAAAAAGGAGCAACATTCATAAAGATGGTTAAATTCAAATTTTAGAATTCTATCATAGATTAAGAATTAATCATTTAAGCTGGGTGCCAGTGGCTCACGCCTGTAATCCTAGCAACGCAAGAGGCTGAGATCTGAGGATGGCAGTTCAAAGCCAGCCCGGGCAGGAAAGGCCATGAGACTCTTATTTTCAATAAACCACCAAAAAACTGGAAGTGGCACTGTGGCTCAAGTGGTAAAGCACTAGCCTTGAGCTGAAGTGCTGAGGGACAGCACCCAGGTCCAGAGTTCAAGCCCCATGACTGACAAAACAAAAAACTGATAATTTATGTATCAAGACAGTTGTTATAGCCAGGCACAAGGGCTCACACTTGTAATCCTTTCTACTTGGGAGGTCTAAGTCAGCTCATACATACCCCCCAAATCCTTTCTCAACTAATAGCTGAATGTGGTAGTGGGCAACTGTTTTCCCAACTACCTGGAAGGCTGAGATGGGGAACACTGAAGAGGTTCCAAGTCAGATGGGGCAGAAAAGTCCAAGACTCTATCCTCTACAGCAGAAGCTGGGCATGATGGGGTTTGGCTGTAATCTCAGACAACAGAGCCTAAAACTTGGTCCAAGTGAATGCCTGGGCAGGAAACAAGATCTTATCTCAAAAATACTAAGTTCAGGGCTGGGATGTAGCTCAGTGGCAAAGCACTTGCCTAGCAAGAGCAACGTCCTGGGTTCAATCCCCAGTACCAAAAAAGAAAAGACAAAAAACATACCGTTAAAAAAAAAAATACTAAGTTCAAAAAGGGAAAAATTGAAGACAACTATTCCTACTTTTGTTTATTTGCTTACATTTCATAAAATAAATAAGTAAATAAAACAACCACAATATAGATCCTTACTAATATTTTAATATTTGAATAGGCCGTTAACAAGCTAGCAGAAATAATGAATCGCAAAGATTTTAAAATTGATAGAAAGAAGGCTAATGCGCAAGATTTAAGAAAGAAAGAAAAGGAAAATAGAAAATTACAGCTGGAGCTTAACCAAGAGAGAGAAAAATTCAACCAGATGGTAGTGAAACATCAGAAGGAACTGAATGACATACAGGCGGTAAGAGTAGAGGAGAGAGTGTGTGTGTAATGAATGACATGCAGGCAGTAAGGGGTGTGTGCGTGTGTGTGTGTGTGTGTGTGTGTGTGTGTGTGTGTGTGTGTGTGTGTGTGTGTGTGTGTGTGTGTACACACTAGGATTAAATCAGTATTACTGTATATAGCTTATTACCTATTTTGTTTGTATTGGATTTTTTTTTGGGGGGGGGGGGGCCGGTCATGGGGCCTGAACTCTGGGCCTGGGCGCTGTCCCTCAGCTCTTCAGCTCAAGGCTAGCGCTCTACCACTTGAGCCACAGCACCACATCCGGCTTTTTTCTTTTTGCTTATGTGATGCTGAGGAATCGAACCCAGGGCCTCAGGCATGCAAGGCAAGCACTCTACCACTGAGCCACCTTCCCAGCCCCTAGGAGCATTTTATAGAATACAACAGTCAGAAGCAATTTTAGGTTATTATTAAAATGGATGTAAGAATCTGTATTACAGGAAGTGGTGCAGTGGCTCAAGTGGTAGAGTGCTAGCTGAAGAGCTGAAGGACAGCACCCAGGCCCAAAGTTCAGGCCCCATGACTGATAAAAAAAACAAAAATAATAATCTGTATTACAATAGAAACACAAAAAGAAGTTTAAGAAACTCATTTCAAGCTGCCTAAATCCATGGTGAAACTCCATGTTCCAACCTCTCATATTTGTAAAGAAATTGTGCCTGGTGCTGGTGGCTCATGCCTATAATCCTAGCTTCTCAGGAGGATGAGATCTGAGGATCAAAGTTCAAAGCCAACCCAGGCAGAAAAGTCCATGAGACTCTTATTGCCAATAAACCACCAGAAAACCAGAAGTGGCGCTGTAGCTCAAGTGGTAGAGCACTAGCCTTGAGCTGAAGAACTGAAGGACAGCACTCAGGCCAAAGTTCAAGCCCCATGACCAACAAAAAAAAAGGGCTGGAGATGTGACAGTGGAGCACCTGTGACTGGACAGTTGAGTTCCTGTCTAGCACGAATGAAATCTACAGGGCTTAAACCCCAGGAACACTCCCTACTACCATGACCATTATCACAAACACTCCTCAAAACAGTAATGAAAACAAAAAGGGCCGAGAGTATGGAATCAAGTTACTTCTTTACATTCATGAATTCATTCATTCATTAATTCATGGCTTTTTGAGAAAGGGAATCAATATATTCCAGGCTAGCCTGAAAACTGCTATGGAATATAGGCTGTCCTTGGATTCATTATCTTTCTGCCTAAAACTCTGAAGATATATATATACATACACACACATATATATACAAACATATATATAGATATATACACACACACATATATACACATATACACATGGCTAAAAGTGGATGAAAGATGTAGGAAGTGACTACCACTAAGTAAGAGGCTTGAGGGGTAAAGCTATTCTACCAAACACTTGAAAATCGGTGAATCAGTATGCTCAAAGCAAAATACTACTAATTACCTAAGAAGGAGTTACCCAAAGATTTAAATAATTTCTCTTTAATCTTACCTTTTAAGGGCATCTTTGAGTTCAGGCACAGAGCGAATACATTGCACTGTAGCATTCATGTAACAAGTGTTACCAAGGTTTGTCAATCCACATGGTAATTCCATCTGATTTTTTAAAAAAGAGAATAATTTGTAATTTAAAAAAGAGAATAATTTATAATTTGTATAATTTATAATTTATAAAATGACATGGCAAATATAAATCACTAAAGTTCACACTTCAGTCTGGAACCATTTACCTCCCCCTACCAATTTATATTCCACTTTCACCCTAACGTAGTGTTTCAATCCCCTCAAAAACACATTTCCCTCACATCATACTGGCAATAATTCTACTTTAGTTCATTTCTTGAAAATAATAGGACAATTATCAGTTCTGCTTTTCTGCAAGCTTAAGAAGGGCATGAAAATCTGCATAATAGAAACACTTCATAGAACACCCAAAACAACAAAAAAATTAAAGCATTCAGAAGGCTGAAGCAAAAGGATTATATATTTGAAGTCAGCTTAGACTACAAAGTGTGTCATAAAAAACTAAACAGGGGCTGGGAAGATGGCTTATTGGTAGACTGTTTACCTTGCATGCATGAGGCCCTGGGTTTGATTCTTCAGCACCACATAAGTAGAAAAAAAAAGCGGAAGTGGTGCTGTGGCTCAAGTGGTAGAGCACTAGCCTACCACTAGCTGAGGGACAGTGCCCAGGCCCAGAGTTCAAGCCCCAGGACCGACCAAAAAAAAACAAAAACTAAACAGAATTACACAAAGTAGGAGCTCCAGGCATGAGCCAACAGCTCTTGCTGCTTGTAATCCTAAGAACTGAGTATCGAGGTTAGAAGCAGCCAAAAGCCAAAAGTGGAGTTGTGGCTCCAATTGTTGAATGTAAATTATGAATAAAAAAAGAGTAAGCCAGGAAGCTGAGATCTGAGGATCATGGTTCAAAGACAGACCAGTCAGTAAAGTCCATGAGACTCTTATCTCCAATTAACCACCAGAAAACCAGAAGTGGTGCTGTGGCTCAAGTAGTAGAGTGCTTGCTTTGAGCTGAAGAGCACAGGGACAATACCCAGGCCCAGAGTTCAAGCCCCACAACGGACAAAAAAAAAGGTAAGCAAGAGCAAAGAGATCCTGAGTTCAAGCCCCAGTACTGACACAAAAAGGAGGTATTATAGTATTTAAGTGCTAGATGTTAAAAAAGTAAATGAATAAGTTTTGTTTGTTTAAAAGATATGTGTTGGCTAGTTTCTAAAATTAGTTTGCATTTACACTCAGGGTAGAAGTTGGGACACAGTTCAGTTACAGAGTACTTGCCCAGCATGTTCAAAGGCCTGGGTTTGATCCCCAATATAAAAAAAAACAAAAATCAATCAAAATAACCTCCAGGAGGGTGGGGGGAGGGGGGAGGCTGGGAAGGGAGGTGAAGGGTAAACAAAGGAGGAGGCTGCAATGCTTGGTAAGAAATGTATGCATTATCCTGCCCATGTAATTGTAACCCCTCTGTACAGTATGTTCTCAAATAAAATAAAATAAAATTAAAAAAAAAAAAACCTCCAGGATAAACTAAGATTTTAAGAAGTGAAATATCCAAGCATTAAATTACTTTGATCTTCTTTTCTCATTAAAAATGGCAAATTTTTCGATAGTGCTATCAGCAAGATAATTTACTAGGTAATTTATATTAAATTTGTGTCTTTGTGTACACATCTTATAATAACTTCATCTATAAAATCAAGTTAGTATATAGTTTTGAGACTTTAGAGTACAAGCCCTGAGTTATGCACTTATACATTAATAAATTCACTTAAAATTTAGAACAGTAATAATTAAAATTTACAGTCAAAAAATGTCATTTAGGATTAAGTAGAAAGGCTCTCTTAAGCTAATTTCAAAAACAGAACATTTCTATTAACTTAAAAACATACATTTTAATACAAACAATTGAAAGAAAATATTTAGATGCTATTTTCTTTCTTTTTTTTTTTTTTGCCGGTCATGGGGCCTGACCTCTGGGCCTGGGCGCTGTCCCTCAGCTCTTCAGCTCAAGGCTAGCACTCTACCACTTGAGGCACAGCACCACTTCCGGCTTTTTCTGCTTATGTGGTGCTGAGGAATCGAATCCAGGGCCTCATGCATGCAAGGCAAGCACTCTACCACTGAGCCATTTTCCCAGCCCTTAGATGCTATTTTCTGAAAGATATTTTAACCAAAGTACTTAATAAAGTAGTAAAGAAGCATAAAATTTGATATATCTTACAGCAGATGCTAACTGTTCTTCGGTCATGTCTTCTACGAAGACAGTTTTAGCTGAAGGTTCCTCTGGAAGAGCATCTGCTGACCCCATCATTAGCACAGTCATACCCTATTTTTAAAAGAAGTCATGAAAATCCCTAAAAGTTAATGCTTTTTATGTCCAAAAAAGGAGACACAAAAGAACACTATACTGTAAGACAAAAAAGGAAATCCATAGAAACCAGATTCACAGTTACCTAGGGGTAGAGGTGGGTAGAGGGACTTTAAATAAGCCCAACTTTCTTTCTGAGGTAGTGATAATATTCTAACATTAGATTGTAATGAGTTCCAAAGCTCTGTAAATATACTTTAATAAATTATCACTAAACTTAAAAAGTTAAAATGTATTGGGATGGCTTCTTGGGGCTAGGAGTGACCTATTTATCTATAAAAGGGCACATGAGAATGTGGAAGAGTGAATCTTGGTTGTGGTGACTTATGGAAATAGGTAATTTTACCATATATAAATTACACCCAAAGCTGAAAGTATATATATAAATATATATATATATATGTGTGTGTGTATGTATGTATGTATGTATGTATATTGTCATAAAATGATATTTACCTTATTAGAGGGGAAACAATTCTTCAAATTATCATTAACACTTAGCAATATTATCTCTATGAATATCTACTGTGTAATTATGAGTTGTTTTCATTTGAAGAGAAGTACTTTCAGAGCAATGAAATATCCATAATTGGAAAACATTAAGTTATAAATGTAGAATAGACAGGCACCAGTGGCATGCCTATTATCCTAGCTACTAACAAAACTGAGACATGAGGATCATGATTTGAAGTCAGCCAGGGCAGGAAAGTCTATGAGACTCATATCTCTAATTTACCACATTTAAAAAGCAGGGATTATGCAGGGTGTCTGGTGGCTCACGCCTGTAATCCTAGCTACTCAGGAGGCTGAGATTTGAGGATTGCGGTTCAAAGCCAGCCTGGGCAGGAAAGTCCCCGAAATTCTTATCTCCAATAACCACCAGAAAACCGGAAGTGGCACTGTAGCTCAAGGGGTAGAGCGCTAGCCTTGAGCTGAAGAGCTGAGGGACAGCGCCCAGGCCCAGAGTTCAAGGCCCACGACCAACAACAACAACAAAAAAAAAGCAGGGAGTAGAACTATGGCTCCAGTGATAATGAGCTAACCTTGAGCAAAAAAAGTTCAGGAACAGAGGCCCGGCCCTATGCTCAAGTCCCAAAACCAGCACCAAAAAAAAAAAAAAAGAGAGAAACAAACAAGCTCACTCAGCATACTGTTTCAAAATTTATACATTAAATGAACACATATATTCATATATACATGTAAATATTCCATTCAGTAGAAAATCAATGAAGATTAATAATCTTAAATGTCTAATCTATTTTTTTCTTGTTGGTCACGAGGCTTGAACTCAGGATCCTAGGCACTGACCCTAAGCTTTTTCTATAAATTTGAACCTCAGTTCCACTTGTGGTTTCCGGTGGTTAACTGACAATAAGAGCCTCAAGGACTTTCCTGCCCAGGCTGGCTTCAAATCTCGAACTTCAGATCTAATTAGCATCCTGAGTAGCTAGGATTACAGGGGTGAGCCACCGTACCCAGCTTAAATGTCTAATCTTATTCTCTTACCCAACATATTCTATTACTTTGGCTTATGAGTAATCTTCTCTGAATATTCATTATAAGTTTTTGTGTAGACAAACTGTTTTCTTACCTATCTCTTGCTTAGGTTGATAGGAATGGATTGCTCAGTCATGTTTTAATGGTTTTAACATTTTAAGAAACTTACAAACTATGTTTCATATGGAAAACACAAATGCAAGAGATAAAAGAAACTGTAGGGCCAGAAGTAGACTTTTTTTTTTCAAATTCTTTATTATGATTAAGTGATTACATAATTTCCCAAATTTCACAGTAGACATTTTAAAAAGGGAATGAGGGACAAAGGCATGGGTCAAGTTGTAGCACGAGCTGTGAGCAAAACAACCCAACCAATAAAGGTGTTAAGTCCAAGCTCCAATATTGTCCCCCTTCTAACAAAAAAAAAGGGGGGGTGAGGGACAAGGAATAATAACTATAGCAGATTTTTTGCCTGTAATCCTAGCCACTCAGGAGGCTGTGATATGAGGATCGTGGTCTGAAGTGAGCCCCGCGGGAAAGTCTATGGGACTCTTTTCTCCAATTAACCACCAAAAAAACAGAAGTGGAGCTGTGATTCAAAGTGGTAAAGTGAAAAAAAAACTCAGAGACAGAGCTCTGGCCTTGAGTTCAAGCCCTACAACTCCCCCTCCAAAAAAAAAAAATTCAGGCAGGGGCTAAGAAGATGGCTCAGTGGTAGAGTGTTTGCCTCACATGCATGAGGCCCTGGGTTTGATTCTTCAGGACGACATTAGCAGAAAAAAACGGGAAGTGGCACTGTGGCTCAAATGGTAGAGCAGTAGCCTTGAGCTGAAGAGCTGAGGGACAGCGCCCAGGCCCAGAGTTCCGAACCCCATGAACACCCCAAAAAAAAAAAAAAATTTAGGCAGAGTGTTGGTGGCTAATGCTGTAATCCTTGCTACTCAAGAGGCTGAGATCTATAGGATAATAGTTCAAAGTCAGCCTACACACACACAAAAAAAGTCAGTGAGATTCCATTTCTAAAATTCCAGCAAAACGTTTGGAGGGAGAAGTGACTGAAGTGATCAAGCCAAGCAAATGCAAGGCTCTAAATTCAAATCATGGTACTGGCAATAAATAAATGAACAAATAAATAAATAAATGAAAAAAACAGGTAAGGATTATAATTAGAAAATCATAAGATCAAAAGTTCCATCTTCTGTGGGATCATAGTAAAACAGTATTAAGCTATCCCAAAGACAGCCGTCTAAATAACCAATTATTGCTAGATGCTTGTAGTTCCAGATATTCAGGAGGCTGAGATCTAAGGTTTGAAGTTCAAAGCCCAGGCAGACAAGTCCATGAAACTCCAATCTCCAGTTTCCAACTAACCACCAAAATGTCTCAAGTGGAATTGTGGCTAAAGTGGTAGAACAGTAGCCTTGAGTAAAAACTAGGGATGGCACCCAGATCCTGAATTCAAGACTCAGAACTGGTACAAAAATAAATAGATAAAAAGCAAGAAGTAAAACTGTGGCTCAAGTGACAGAGTGCCAGTCTTGAATGGGGGGTAAAGGGAGGGGCAGTGGCCTAGCATGCGCACATGCATGCACACACAGAACAAAACTGTCAAAGAGGATGCCAACAATGAACAGTAAGAAAACTGAGATAAGAAAAAATACCAAATACCCAATAAGAGTAAACATAAAAAAAAATAATACGTCAATGAAAAAACTATCAAGCTCTACTTAGGATTAGTTTTTTTTTTGTTTTTGGAAACTTTTTTTGTGCCTGTCCTAAGGCTTCAACTCAGGGTCTGGGTGCTGTCCCTGAACATTTTTGTTCATGACTAGTGCTCTACCACTTAAGCAACAAATCCATTTTGGCTTTTCTGTAGCTAATTAGAGATAAAAGTCTCACAGGCTTTTCTGCTCAGGCTGGCTTTAAACCTCAGATCTCAGCCTCCCTAGTAGCTAAAATAACAGGCGTGAGCCACTGGTGCCTCACTGTAATGTTTAAAAAAGACGGGGGGAGGGGGGGAACAACCTAAGATAGAGAAAATGGGAGAGGGACGGAGGAAACTAAGTATATACAAGGACATGACAAGAATTTGAAACTAGAAAACTTTTAAATTACTGTAAGATATGACAAGACAGTTTATTACTGTAATGGTATTATTTCTAGGCTTTACAATGATTCAACATGCAATAAATTTATATCCAAGACAATAACTCTTCTCCTCATGCTGGTGCCCACCCTTACCCTTAATGATCTTCCTTCTATTTTCTTGGCCATCTTTATATTCTTTTTTCATTTTCTTTTAGTCTTGATACCACATAGCAAAAAACATGAGCAATTTGTCTTTCTCAGTCTGCCCTATTTTGCTTACCATAATAATCTCCAGTTCCATCCATTTTTCCTACAAATGAATTTCTTTCTTCTTTAAGGCTAATACTCAATATACAATTGTATACATGTATCATATTCTCTTTAATCATTCATCAGTTGATGGACACCTAAACTAGTTTCCTATCTTAATTATTATAATTATTAATTACTATTATAGTGCTACAGTAAACACAAGTGTGCATACTAGCCTTGGATATGTATATTTTTAAGCCATTTGGAATTTACTTTGTTGTGACAATTAGATTATACTATATTAAATAAACACTCTTGATATTTACAGTTTTTTGTGTTTGTTTTTTTGCCAGTCCTGGAGCTTGAACTCGGGGGCCTGGGCAGTAAGTCACATTCCCAGCCCTACAGGGTTTTTTTTGTTTTTTTGTTTTTTTTTAGGGGTCCAGTCGTGGGGCCTGAACTCTGGGCCTGAGCGCTGTCCCTTAGCTCTTCAGCTCAAGGCTTAGCGCTCTACCACTTGAGCCACAGCGCCACTTCCAGCTTTTTTCTTTTTGCTTATGTGGTGCTGAGGAATCGAATCCAGGGCCTCATGCATGCAAGGCAAGCGCTCTACCACTGAGCCACCTTCCCAGCCCCCAGTTTTTTTTTTTTAATTATGATTAATTTAATGACTTTTTGTCTGTTTATGTGATACTGAGGAATCTAACCCAGAACCTCAAGCATGCTAGGTAAACACTCTACCTCTAAGCCACAATCCCAGCACTGATACTTACAGTTTTAATTTTGATGTTTCCCCAATCATCGTCCTAGTTGAAAAACAAAAGATATTTAAGCACCTTTGCAAATGTACTCATATGTTTTATATTATTCTGAACAAAATAAAATTAATACTTCTAATGCATTCTCACATGAAAAAATCCAAACATCATAGATAACTGAATGATTGTTTTATGTTTTGAAATAGGCACGATAACCATTAGCAAATAAAAATATTTCAAATGCTACATTAACACTAAAACACATCTGTGCTGTTTTCACTATTTTGTAACAACACACAATGAAAATGCAGATTCATTTTACCTTCAATGTTCCTCCTTTCACCATAACTTTCTGTCTTGCCGGCTGGACTCCAGTCAGTGCAAAAAGCTGAGCCTTGAACACCATTGGCGGTTCATCAGTATTCAATTCTACACCTTCAAATTTCTCCTTTCCCCATTTTACCGTAACTGCAAAACAAATCATAATGCTTTTCATTTATAAAATAAGACTTTAGACTTAGAAAAATCTTAAGAGATCAATTACTAGGCTAGTCCTTTCTTTGGCCAGTCCTGGGGCTTGAACTCAGGGCCTGGGCACTGTCCCTAAGCTTCTTTTGCTCAAGGCTAGCACTCTACCACTTGGGCCACAGCCACCACTTGCAGCCTTTTCAGTTTGTGTGGTACTAAGGAATCGAACCCAGGGCTTCATGCATCCTAGACAAACACTCTACCACTAAGCCATATCCCCAGCCACTAGGCTAGTTCTTGAAAATCTAACTGTGCCGTTGATTTTTCTATGTGATGGTCTAACCAGGGCTAGAGATAAGGTTCAAATGGTAGAGCACATGTTTGGCATGCTTCAAAGCACTAGGTTCATTCCCAATATCAGCCTTCCATCCTCCAAAAAAGTCCATCTAATCAAGAATAGTATGCATGCAATAGGTGCTGAATAAAAATCTACTGCATATAATTCAACTTACTATATAAAGGAACGAAAATTAAAAGGAAACTGATTGATTTATTAATATCACAAACTGGATGATAAATATCTAACTCTTCAAAATCCCATTCCAATATTCTCTGCAAACTTCAGTGATCATGCCAAACTAACTACCTGTAAGAATAGTTTATAGCACTCATACTGTGATCAATCACTCAATTAATAAACTAAAACAGAGGAAAGAAAGAAAAATTCTAGGGGAATAAGGATTAAATCTTAAGGAAATAAAGATTAAAGAAATGTTATAATTGAGAACAGATTAAAAGAAGTATTACAATTCTGAAGTATATGAAAGGTATTGCAGTCATTCTCTCCCTAGAGAGGAACTGCTTTCAGTCTATCAAGTGTATCTTTCCAATAAACTTTCCTATCATTGTCACTACTCTGAGTCTTGTAATGAATTTTCTCACCAGAGCCTGAGGTTGACAGTTACACTGACTTCCCGTAACAAGTTAGAAAATAAGTGTTTTACAATTGCTCCTGTTTATAATCATCTGTGGGGAATCCTACTCTGCTGTCCTATTTACTGTTATCTGCCTGGTCTCAACCTACTAATTGTTTACTTTGTCCTTAAGCACGACCACAGCTACAGCTGATCATGATCCCCAAAACAGGAGCCTTCTACACTGTCCAAGACCCAAGATCATGGCTGTCCCCATTGACAGTGCAAGGGCAACAGAGTTACCACCTATACTAGCAGAAAGCATCCAAAGGCTGACTTACTACTTGAAAACTTTCTACTGCCTGAAAGATTTCAGGGTCTCAAGTCAATGAAGGGGGAATGAAGGTAGAAGCTAGCCATGAAATGGAGGATAAGATCACAAGGTCCCAGAGATAACATCACAAAATTCTCCAAACAGCCTCCCCACCCCGACACCTATGAAATCACGAAATGTCACAAAGTAGACTCTCCTAAGGATTAATAATAGGCTTCATTCAAGCTAAAGGTAAGTAAACAAAGAGATCTTACCAGACTTGTAAAACAGCACTAGAGATCAAACATAACTCAGTAAATCAACTTGAACCTTGGGACAAGGATGTTGTCTGGGAAGGAGTAAACTGTTCTGGGTAAAAAAATAATCTGTCTTTCTATCCTGAGAGATGACAATTCTCCATCTGCTCCTAAGCAGCATCTGACTCCAAGATATATTTAAATCATTTAGAAATATATTGCAGCCGGGCGCTGGTGGCTCACGCCTGTAATCCTAGCTACTCAGGAGGCTGAGATCTGAGGATCGAGGTTCAAAGCCAGCCCGGGCAGGAGAGACCGTGAGACTCCTATCTCCAATAAACCACCAGAAAACCGGAAGTGGCGCTGTAGCTCAAGTGGTAGAGGGCTCGCCTTGAGCTGAAGAGCTGAGGGACAGCGCCCAGGCCCAGAGTTCAAGCCCCACGACCGAAAGAAAAAAAAAAAAAAATATTGCAACACTAATAGCTCATGTCTGTACTCCTAACTACTCAGAAGACTAAGATATGAAGATTTGCGGTTTGAAGCCAGTCTGAGCATCAAAGTCCTTGAGATTCTTATCCTCAGTCAGCAAAAAGCTGGAGGTAGAGATGTGGCTCAAAGTGGTAGGACACTAACCCTGAGCAAAAAAAAACCTCAGGGAGACGGCCAGCCCCGGCAGGAAAGTCCACAAAACTCTTATCTCCAATAAACCACCAGAAAACCAGAAGTAGGCTGTAGCTCAAATGGTAGCATGCTAGCCTTGAGCTGAAGAGCTGAGGGACAGCACTCAGGCCGAGTTCAAGCCCCATGACTGACCAAAAAAAAAAAAAAAAACCTCAGGGACAATACATGGGACAATACAGAGTTCAAGCAGGCCGGTGTGCATCATCAGTGGCTCACAACTGTAATCCTAGCTACTCAGAAGACTAAGATGTGAGGATTAAGGTTTGAAGCTAGCCTGCGCAGGAAAGTCCATGAAACTCTTATCCCTGATTAACCAGAGGTGGCACTAAGGCTCAAAGTAGTAGAGCACTAGCCTTGAGAGCAAGAGCACAGGAACAGTGCCCAGGCCCTACATTCAAGCCCCACTAGAATGGCTGTTTACTTTGTTTGAGACAGGGTCTCACCAGGTAGACCAGACTGGTCTCAAGCTCATGATCCTCAGGCCTCTCAGTCTCTCAAAGATTGGGATCACAAGCATGTAACACTATGCTTAGCTTTTAAGAAAAAATGGTTTAAAATAAAAACCTAGAAAACAATAAATGTTGCTACGGATGTGGAAAAACATGTTATGCGTTCTGGTTAAGAATATGTAAAACAGGGGACTGGGAAGGTGGCTCAGTGGTAGAGTGCTTGCCTCTCATGCATGAGGCCCTGGGTTCGATTCCTCAGCACCACATAAGCAGAAAAAGCTGGAAGTGGCACGGTGGCTCAAATGGTAGAGTGCTTGCCTTGAGCTGAAGAGCTGAGGGACAGTGCCCAGGCCCAGAGTTCAAGCCCTGTGACCAAAAAAAAAAAAAAAAAAAAAAAAAAAAAAGGAGGCCTGGAAGGTGGCTCAGTGGTAGAGTGCTTGCCTCTCATGCCTGAGGCCCTGGGTTCGATTCCTCAGCACCACATAAGCAAAAAGAAAAAAGCCAGAAGTGGCGCTGTGACTCAAGTGGTAGAGCGCTAGCCTTAAGCTGAAGAGCTGTGGGACAGGGACAGCGCCCAGGCCCAGAGTTCAGGCCCATGACCGGACCCAAAAAAAAAAAAAAGAATATGTAAAACAGTACCTGCTGCTGTGGAAATAGTACAGGGTTTCCTCAAAATATTAAATATAGGGGCTGGACATAGCTCAAGGGGGAGAACACTTGTCTAGCAAGCATAAAGTCCTGCGTTCAAACCTCAGTACCACCAAAAATAAATATAAGTATTCATAATAGCCAAGTTACAGAAACAGCCCAGATGCCCTTGCTCTATAATGGACACATGGAACAAAAAAACAAAAAAACGCATGTATATATAGGTACCATACACACAAGGGAATTTTATTCCTCTATTTGCAGGGAAATGGATGGATCTAGGGGAAAAAGAAAAAGAAATCACACTGAGCAAAGTAAGCCATGCCCAAAAGACAAAGAATACATGTTTTTTCACCTAGATAAACACATACAGGGGTATTTGCACATATACATGACTAAGTTGACTCCAATATATGCAAGAGTGAAATTCCTTTATAAACTCTTTGAACAACTAACAGACAATTTAACCAAATGCACAGTAGGAAAATAACAGGTTTTGAACTGGGGAGAGGGTAATGAAAGCTGAGTAGATAAATGGAAAACCAGATCCAATACTCAATGTACACAGGTGAAATAATACTCAACATACACAATGTACACACATGAAAAATGAAATGGGAAACTCCATGTGATTGGTATAGAAAGGGGTAGGTAGGAAGGGGAGGGAATATGATGGAAGAGGTGACTCTGATCAGGATGAACCTTAAGTGAGTGTATTAAATTGTTAAATTGTAACCCTCTTAGACAACCAATCATATACAGATAAAGAAATTATTTTATATAATAGAAAATGGCTGTATCTTACAGACATTATGTGAAGTGAGATAAGCTAGTCACAGAAGGACCAATACCATGTGACTCCATTTATAAGAGTTATCCAAAGTAGTCAAATTTACAGACACAAAGAAAATGTTGGTTACCAATAGGTAGGATAAGCAGAAATGACAGTTCTGCTTAATGGACAGTTTTAGATGAGATCATGAAAAGTGATGGTTGTAGGAAAAAAAAAAAGATGACAGTGATAGTTGTAAAAAAAAACAACGTACATATTCTTTTTTTTTTTGGGTCCGGTCGTGGGGCCTGAACTCTGGGCCTGGGTGCTGTCCCTCAGTTCTTCAGCTCAAGGATAGCGCTCTACCACTTGAGCCACAGCGCCACTTCCGGCTTTTTTCTTTTTGCTTATGTGGTGCTAAGGAATCGAACCCAGGGCCTCAGGCATGCAAGGCAAGCGTTCTACCACTGAGCCACCTTCCCAGCCCCCAACTTACATATTCTTAATTACACAAAACTGTACACTTAAAAACAATTTAAGATAGTGCCTGCCAGGAGCTGTGGCACATGCCTATAATCTGAGCTAACTATTCAGAATGCTGAGTCAAGAGTTGGCTGCTTGAACCTAGGAATTCAAACCAGCCCAAACATACTCAGACCCAGTCAAAAAAAAAGGAAGAAAAAAAATGTCAGCCCCATAAAACAGTCTCACTTCTGAAATTTTAAAGTAGTAACAAACCCAAGGATAGCCAGTTTTGTTGAACCTTGAGAGTTAGGGAAAGCTAATAGACAATGTTCAAACCCCTGTACCAGCACCAAAAAAAATTCTAATTTCCAAATTTTGAGGTAGAATTTGAAAACTCAGACTTCAAATCATAATTTTGTCATCAGTTTAATAAATGTGTTCCATATTCATTTAATATAAGCACAGTACTGAGCATTAGGAAATCTTAAGACAAAGTGATGAGGAGGGGGTTGTAATTAACAATGTAATTACTATAAATAATATAAATAATACAAGAGTAAACAAATTTCTTTGGGGAGGGGACAGGATAAATTGGGGAATTGAGACAAGATAACGTTATGTAGCCCAGGTTGGCCTGGAATTCAGGAGTCTCCTGTCTCAAGCTTTTTTATTTTTTTGAGTGGTCTTGGGTCTTGAACTCTGGGCCTGGGCACTGTCCCTGAGCTCTTCAGCTCAAAACGAACACTCCACCACTTGAGCCACAGCACCACTTCTGGTTTTCTGGTGGTTAATTGGAGATAAGAGTCTCATGGACTTTCCTTGCCCAGGCGGGCTTTGAACTACGATCCTCAGATCTCAGCCTCCTGAGTAGCTAGGATTACAGGGGTGAGCCACCAGCACCTGACTATGTCTCAACCTCTTTTTTTTTTTTTTCTTTTGTCGGTCGTGGGGCTTGAACTCTGGGCCTGGGCGCTGTCCCTCAGCTCTTCAGCTCAAGGCGAGCGCTCTACCACTTGAGCTACAGCGCCACTTCCGGTTTTCTGGTGGTTTATTGGAGATAGGAGTCTCACGGTCTCTCCTGCCAGAGCTGGCTCTGAACCGTGATCCTCAGATCTCAGCCTCCTTGAGTAGCTAGGATTACAGGTGTAAGCCACCAGCGCCCGGCTGTCTCAACCTCTTGAATGCTGAAATTACAAGGAAACACTACACCAACTAGGAAGATTTCTTGGAAGAAGTGATAATACGTGAATTATGACTATCAACTTTGAATTAAGTCTTACAGAAAAAATAAAGTGTTAGCAAGAAAATAAAAGTATTTCAAAAACAGATAAGAAAAACATTCATTCAACAAGCTAGGTGCTAGTGACTCACTCCTATGATTCTAGCTACTCAGGAGACTTTGATCTGAGAATCGAAAATCAAAGCCAGACTGGGCAAAAAAGTCCATGAGCCTCTTATCTCCAACTAACCACCAAAAAGTAGAGCTGTGGTGAAAGCGGTTAAGCATTAGCCTTGAACAAAAAGGCTCAGAGTTCAAGCCTCTGGACCAGAGGGGACACAGTCACTCAGAATACATTCAATAATCTTTTTGTTGTTGCTAGTCCTGAGGTTTGAACTCTGGGCCTGGGTATTGCTCCTGAGCTTTTGTGGCCACTTGAGCCACAGCTCCATTTCAGGCTTTCTGTGATTAACTGGAGCAAAGATTCTTATGAATGCTCCTGCCTAGGCTAACTTTGAACTTGATCCTCAGATCTCAACTATCCAAGTTGCTAGAATTACAGGCGTGAGCCACCAGTGCCCAGCTTTGTTCAATAATCTTTACTGCATATATCCTTAACTATTTAAGATGTAGGTACTTTTCTGTTAAAATGTATGAAATAGTAAACTATCTTTTTTTTTTGTCGGTTGTGGGGGCTGAACTCTGGGCCTGGGCGCTGTCCCTCAGCTCTTCAGCTCAAGGCTAGCACCCTACCACTTGAGCCACAGCGCCACTTCCGGCTTTTTTCTGCTTTTGTGGTGCTGAGGAATCAAATCCAGGGCCTCATGCATGTAAGGCAAGCACTCTACCATTGAGCCAATTTCCTAGCCTTTCATTTTCTTTTTAATGGTGGGCTTGGGCTCTGAACTCAGGGCCTTGCTCCTATCAGTTGTAACATACCACTAGCCTCTCCACTTTAATAAAAGGCCTTTTTTACTAACTCTGACAATTCAAATTGTTAATAGAGAAATGTCAAAGGAAGAGGATCTTAAAAACTACTCCAATATTTTCAATTCGGAGAATGAGGAAATGATCTGATGGAATATTTAAGACAGATGTCAATTTTTTTTTTTTTAATTGGCAGTGGGGCTTGAACTCTGGGCCTGAGCGTTGACCCTGCACTCTTAAGCTCAAGGTAAGTGCTCTACTTACTTGAGCCACAGTGCCACTTCCTGTTTTCTGGTGGTTAATTGGAGACAAGAGTCTCACGGACTTTCCTGCCAAGACTGGCTTTGAGCAGTGATCCTCAGAGCTCAGCCTCCTGTGTAGCTAGGATTACAGGCATGAGCCACTGCCTGGCAGATCTCAATTTTTAAGAGAAACCTTAGGTGACTGGCAGCAACAAAGAGGTTGGTTTGCTGTATGTGTGTGACTGTACCACTGTCTTTATTAGCATACAATTTCTTTATTGCCATTATTTAACGTCCCTTCAGTTCTATATTGCATATGGAATATTTCAAGAACCATTCAACTGTTCATTGCTACAGCTTTAAACAAAAAAAAAGGCAGGCAATCATTAAAACACTAGATTCACAACTCTAAACCATCAAGAATCCACCCTCCTGTGAGTGGGTATTACTCTTTGAAAACGATGAACCTTCAACACAGGAATGACATACAGCGGTGGTAAATGAATCAATCCCACATCCATCGCTAACTGGGGCCACTGTACACACTTTAGGTGCCATTTTGAGTAAGGCTGAGGAACAGTGAAGCACACCAAGTAAAGATTTGATCGTTGCCACCTCGGACAGCCATCAAACAAATGATCCCGGTCCAAAGCCAATCAACACTAAACGATACCGGTCGTTACTTCAATTCATCTACCTCTCACAACAATACGCTTTCCAACACTGAAGCTTAATACAATGTATAATGAAATAAAAAACGAAAACCAAACCACCACCACCACCACCACCCCAAAAAAAAAAAGGAATGCTTTGCAATCTGTTTTGGGGATACAAGTGAAACTCGGAGTAGGAAAGGAGCAACAGAGCCGAATTCTACCAGGGGTGAGCGAAGGAAAGCTACCGAGGGCAACCTCAGTCCCGGCTCTCTCCACCCCAGTCCTCCTTTCGCCCTCGTGCCAGGTATCAGCAACCAGACCTTCGCCACGCACCTACAGCCGGGTCTGCCGGGGCCCGGGACACACCCTCACCTTTCTCAGCCCACCAGGGTAACGACCCCAAACTATTCTGCAGAGTCACGACTCCAAGCTGCTTCCCCACGCCCACTCAGGTTCCCACCCGCCGGGCGGCGCCGCGGGAAGGCGGCGGTGTCGGGAAGCCCACCCTGGAGGGAGCAGGGGTGCCAGGGTGGCTCCGGCGGCCGCCGCTCGGCTCGGTATCCGGGCCCGAGCCCGGCGCGTGCCGCTGGAGGCCTGGCCTACGCGGAGGCCTAGCGTCGGCGGGGAAAACGCGGCCCGAAGCGAGGACGGAGCTCACCGGAGTACAGAGGCATGGCGGAACTCGAGGGGAGGCAGCGGTGTAGGAGGCTTGTCCTGGCAAGGGCGGGGAGGGGACTAGAAAGAGCTGGTGGCGGCAGAGGAGGAGAACGCGCGGCGACGGTGGTACTGGCGGTGGCGGCGGCACGGATGCGACGAGTCTCATTCAAACCGGCCACTGGAGATGACGCAGCAGCTCTGGGTTCGCCTGCCGGGCTACTGCAGGGAGGAGGCGCTGCGTAGGGGGGGGGGAAGAGGCGGAGCCTGGAAAGTGGCGAGAGGCCGGGAAGGGGGCGGGGCCTGCACGAAGGCCGGAGAGTGGTGGGCGGGGCGAAGGGACCCGCGCGGCCAGAGGCGCGGCAGTCAGTGTGCGCTTGCGCAGTGTACTCCACAGCCTCGCGCCACGTGGTCGCAGCACTGCCCCGCCTGACCGCGGCTGGAACGGGAACTTGGTATCCTGCTGGTTGACTTCTAAACTGATTTCGGCTTTCAAAAATAGTGTATCAGCTGGACATTGGTGGCCTTGGTGGCCCTTTCCGGTCATCCTAGCTACTCAGGAATCTGAGATCTGAGCATTATGGTTCGAAACTAGTCCGGACAGGAAAGTCCGTGACACTATTACCTCCAATTAACCCAGCAAAAAGCCTGGAGTAGAGCTGTAGCTCAAGTGGTAGAGGGCTAACCTGAAGGGGGAAAAAAGCTCAGGGACAGCACCCAGGCCCTGAGTTCAAGTCCCCACCCAAAAACGTATTGAGCACTGGGACTAAGTACATAAAATAAGTGATTGTAGACTGACCTGTTTTGAATCTCAGCTATTCCTTATGATCTAACTTTATGACCCAGTCTGAGGCCGTTTATCTACAAACTGAAGATGATAATAATACATTATTCTTAGGATTCAATAAATTATGTCTAGTGATTACATATTATATGCAATAAATTATACCTATTAAATGTCATGTCACAAACACTTGAAAGGGGTTTTGTAGGGTGCAGTTGGATTAGCAAGCTATAGCTATGTATCTTTAATGATGCCTCACATATCATATCTGTGGGATGTGTTTGATAAAGCCAGAGCAGGAGGCCTAAAGATTGAAGCATGCAAACGCAAATCATCCACTCTGATTGATTGCACAAGGTGTATTGCCTTCAGCAGCTTTCATTGCACTTCTATTTCTTCAACATGTCTACCCCCCACTACTAGAACAGGAATGGTAGTTGTCAGGCGGTTATTATCTAATGCTGTGAGAACTAGAGGTCAAAGCAACATATTTTAACCTTGCTCACTCAGTAAATGACCAAGAGTCTTTTCAGCACACACACATATACACACACACAAATACACACGGTTGGTATGTCTCCCAGACATACCAAACACAAGAATAAGGCTATAGAACCACCCTAGCAACTGAAAAAATACCATAAAAAGAAATTCACATCTGGCAGCAGTGTCTCACTATAATTCTAACTACTGAGGTGGCTGACACCTGAGAATCATTATTTGAAGCCAGCTCCAGCAGATAAATTCATCAGACTCAGAGATGTTTCTGCCCAGGCTGACTTCAAATTGCCTTCTGGATCTCAGACTCCTGAGTAGCTAGAGTTATGGGCATAAGCCAACAGTATTTGGCTATCAATTTCAATCTTAAAAGTGTTGACAGTACTATATTGATCTGGAGATACTAAAAGAGATTTATTCATTGCCTTTTCCAGATGCTAGATGCTGTCCTTGCCTTTTCCAGATTCTGGAGCCATCCACATTCCATGGCTGTTGATGCCATACCTATGATGCTCCTTTTGACTCTGACCTCTGCCTCACAATTTATAAAGGCCCATGGAATTACATTGGCCCCACCTGGTGCCAGGACAGTTTTCTTACCCTAAAATCCTTAATCATCCAAGCTAGCTCCTTTTTGAGTTCCACAAGCAAAAAGAGTCCCACATGCTGGGGCACTGGTGGCTTATGCTTGTAAATCCTAGCCACTGGAAGCTGAGATCTGAGGATCGTGGTTCAGTGCCAGCCAGAGCAGAAGAATCCCTGTGAGATTCTTATCTCCAATTAACCAACCCCAAACTGGAAATGGTGCTGTGGCTCAAAGTGGTAGAGCACTAGCCTTGAGCTAAAAAGCTCAGGACAGCCTCCAGGTCCTGAGTTTAAGCTCCATGACCAAAAAACAAAAGTCTCATAATGTGAAAGGAGTTTCTGTTTTGCTGAGCTAAGAACTGAACTCAAGACTTGCACTTGCCAATCAAGTACTCTTTCACTGAAGTAAATCCCTACCCGCAAGGTGAAAGTTTTAACAAGGATTTACTTCAGTGTAATAGGGCTAAAAAGAAATAGAAAATGAAACATTTCCTACTCCCTACTCCGGAAACAAGAGTTAAAGACTCTGCAAGTCCGTTTTGAGTGGTAACGTATTCATAAGCTGAGGAGATTAGGATATGGACATATCTACATAACCATTATTTCTGTCCACCATACCCAAAGAAAAAGTTGAAAATATCCACTACACTTTCTTACAGAATCTATCATTTTAATATTTCTATGCCTATTTAGGAAAAAAATTCTATAAAAGCTTCTAAAAGTGTTTCTAAATAAATGCAAAATCTAGTTTGGGACCAACAGTGATGAAAATTACATCAGCTGAATGCATGCTGCTGTGACAAGGAGGCCTCAAAATTCAATTGCTTAAAAAAGACAGGTTATAAAGAGGAGTTAGGGGAAAGCAAAAACAAGAGTTTGTTGGACAAACATCCCACCCCTGTATCTCAGCTATCTGCCACATGTGCTTCTCAAAATTTAATGTCAACTAGAATCTCCTGGAATTTTGTTAAAATGCAGTCAGACTAAAAGTTATTATGCAGTGTGAGATGCTAACTGCAAGAAAATGCTGGGTTTCATAGTGTGAAAATTATCTTTCTCAACAGCAAACTGTTAAGAAGCATGTATTTTTTTTTTTACCAGTCCTGGGGCTTGAATCAGGGTTTATGTACTATCCCAGAGCTTCTTTTGTTCAAGGTTAGCACTCTGCCACTTGAGAGCCACAGCACCACTTCTGACTTTTTCTGCTTATGTGGTATTGAGGAATCGAACCCAGGGCTTCAGGCATGCTAAGTAAGCACTCTATCACTAAGCCACATTCCCACCCTGAGGCTTGTCTTTTTCTCCTTAGTTAAAGATGGGTTGCAGGGCCAACCAGGTTTCAGTCTACAGGAAGAAGAAATAAAAATAAGAATGGGAGAGGAAAAAGGAGGTAACCCAGGACAACAATTTCCTTTTAAGCAAGAAAAAGGCATTGAGCTGGGCACAGGTGGCTCATGCCTGTAATCCTAGCTACTCGGGAGGCTGAGATCGAGGATTGCAGTTCCAAGCCAGAATGGACAGGAAAGGATAAACTACTCAAAAAAAGCCAGAAGTGGAGTTGTGACTCAAGTGACAGAGTGCTAGCCTTGGGCAAAAAAGTTCAGGGACAGAACACAGGCCCTGAGTTCTAGCACTGGAACCTGCACACATATGTGCACACACACACAGAGGGAAAAAAAGGTATTGTACAAGTTACTTTCACTCACATTTAATTAGTGTAAATATTTGTATGGCATGCCTAGCTGTTTAGAACCTGGGGAAATGGAATCCATAATACTACACAGGTGTATAAACCAAAGCCATAGTTACTAGGCAATAAATAGGTTAGTGGATTTTGGTGGTAAGCCCATAATCTCTGCCATGCAAATATTGGTTTATTTGGTAATTATGTTCCAGTTTATAATGCTTTCCTGAAAGAAGTGACAGTTTTCACAACTATCAAATGAAAATTATATCTATCCCAGGACCCCTTCAGGTTTATAAGCTTTAAATATCTAGTTTCAGTACACATAATGTCAAGAATAATAGTCTAATGGAGCTGATCCAAAACAGAATAAATAGCAGATCCACTTGTATGTTTACACATCTGCCTTCCAGATTAAGTTCAAGTCTCAAAGTTCTATTATTGAAGACAAGAGCTGGTGGCTCACATCTGTAATCCTAGCTATTCAGGAGGCTGAAATCTGAGGATTGTGGTTTGAATCCAGCGCAGACAGAAAACAATTAATCATCAGAAAACGAGTGGAGCTGTGGCTCAAAATGGTAGTGAACTAGCATTGAGAAAAAGCTCAGGGACAGCACCTAGGCCTTGAGTTCAAAGTCCCATGACTGACAAAAAAAAGTGTTTTATTACTGGAACTGGAAATTTATTATTTCTAATCAATATCCTCACACTGGACAAAAACATACTTTTTGGCCTTATGCTCAGTATTTCTGTCTATATTAATTAAAATCAACGATGTTTGAATGCCCAACATTCTGCATGCACATTGTGACTATACTAGTAGAAGAAGCTTTTGTCCTGATTATTTTCTAAACAACACAGGATAACTATTTTCACATATTTACCTTGGAATTGTTTTTACAGGCCATCTAGAGGTGATTTCAATGACACCAGAGGGTGTGTGTGGTTCTATGCAAAAACTGGGCCACTTCTATAGGGTACTAGCACATTTTAAGACTTTGGTATCTTTAAAGGAGTCATGAAACCAATTCCACTCAGACACTGAGGATTGACTATACTGTGTTTTTGTTGTTGTTGTTGTTGTTGTTTGGCTCATACTCCTACTCAGGCAGTAAAATACATTTGTTCTTCCTCATTTTCTTTCCTTCTCCTCCACTTTCTTTTTTCCTTCTTCTCTAGTGCTGGGGATCAAGGACAAGGGCTTCATGAAAGGTAAGTAAACATTCTACCATTGTACTACACCCCCAATCCCTTGACACATACTTAATCCTTACAAACCAGAAAACTTCATCAGCCTCTCCATATATTATGCATATATAGCAATTATATCTTTCCAATTAAGCTCTGAATACTTCTTTGCACCTCCATTAGAAGTATTTGGTGATTAATTCAATTAGACATTTCAGGATCATATCATACTCTGAAGCATTTTAGTAATTATAATAAGGTCACTGTATTATTTGCTTCATATCTGAGCAGTGGCAAACATACACCTTGTTCATCTATATATCCCTTTGGCATGGCACAGACCCACCATAGAGTAGGCATTAAATACATGGCTGCATGAAAGGATTAAGGCATGGTAATATGAATTCAGAGAAGAAAGAAACTTAAGTATTCAAGTGAGTAAACAGAAAGGTCTAGAAAAAAATAC